AGGCAAAGTTTCAGGATTTTCGATTTTTCTAACCTGGCCAGCCATTCTCGATATTTCCAGTCAGTGACTCGTAACCTTTGCATATGAAGTCGGTAAACCTACCTGAATGTTTTCCTGCACCCTGAGTTTGATCCTCAGTGCAACCAGAGCTCCAGGACAACATGTGGCAAAGCAACAACCCTCACCCATTCTTGAAGAGATGTCACACAGCAAACAATGCCCACAGAAGGTTCCCATGCAACCTGCAAATTGAACAAGGAATTAGTCTATTATTTTGGTTCATTCTTTTCGATTTTATTAAAAGCATGCAAGTGGCTTAATCTACTCCAGAACACACACACCCGTACGTATATGTATATATGCATGCCTTGAGGCTATGAGGATACACTTCTGGTAAATCCTGCTGTTGGTGTTGCATGGAAAGAGTAGTTTTCAAAGATAAAAAGACTCAACACCAATGACACCCCCCCCCCCCCCCCCCCCCNGACCCCCCCCCCCCCTCCCCTGTCAGGTGTTAATCTACATCTTTACAGCTTTGAATGAGACACGGCGTGCTTGAAAAGCAGCTTAAGTGTCATGATAGGCTTTTATTCTCATATATAACACTATTTCAATTATTAGCTAGTTTAGCTAACTTTGTTATTTTATATTTTTAAATCGTGCTGAAGGAAATTTTACCGTGTATAAATAAAGTTATCAATCAATCAATAGCTGGAAAACAGGCCCCCAGGAGGGGAGTTGCACTCCCTGATGAAAAGGTCGGTGATGCTCGTCAGAAAATTTGAATTAAACCCCTAAAGGAGGCCAATCTGGGTGTGGCTCGAGGTTAATTTGAACCAAGAAAGATAAAATAAAAGATAAAAGATCACCTTAAACGGAATAGGCTCGATTACCAGCCGCTATTCAAGAAATTAGACTGCACCACTAGAACGGACTCCAGAGACCGGCGGAAATCGAGCCTAAAAATGGAAACACGAGCCTTTTTTATTTTAATTTCTCCCAGTGCACCCTAACAGATGCCTTGACAGCTAAAAATAGTGGTGTTTCGTCATGAACACCCTGAGCGAGACCAAAATCTTTGATTTTATACCCCTAAGCGAGATGATGAGAATCCCCGACCTTTTGATGTGGGAGTTCCCCCCCCCCCCGGCCCCAGGAACAGGCATACGCGGCTGAAGTCTCGAGCCACGATGTCCCTGCTGTGATTGGTTAGAGTTCGTTTTAAGAGAGCTTTTAATTAATTGTCAGTTTCAGAAAAGTTAAAGAATGAAATGTTTCAAACGTGTGCGTTCTCCAGAGATGCGGTGAACATTTCCCTTACATGAATAACAGTCTTCAAAGCATCCGCACAGACTAGTGCTCCAGTCACGCATTCCTTGTTGTAGCACAACTGGAGCGGGTTGAGTCACAACAACAGTGGTGTTTGTTTGCTGCTGGACCACTGGCTGAGTCATCACTGGCTGAGGATATCCTGGCTGAGCCAGAGGGTACCCTGGCTGCATGCCATAGGGTGGGGGGCCTCCCGCTCCAGATTCCTCTTGCATTGTGGTATATCCCGTAACAGGCTTTTCCGACATATTTCAAGGATGCTTAGCTAAATTTAAGGGAAAAAAAAGAGAAAGATTTTACCGAACATGTTAGTCAGCGTACATTAATGGGTCAAAGCAACTGTGACTTGAGGTGTAATACAAACAAACAAACATCACAAAAATATTACCCCTCATTTACTTTCGTCAATTTACAGTTCAATATTTCGTTCATATGAGAAAGCATTCTATTTAATGTCAATGTCTTTTGGATACCACTTTCGCAATGGGGGCGCTTGTTGGAATAGGAGAGCTTATTAAAAACAAAACTCCAGGGAAGCGCTTATTAGAAAGGGGGCGCGAGGGCGCTGAATTGAATCAAGATAAAGATAAAAATAAGGGAGTTTCGGGAGAACTTGGTTCTTCGTGCAGGCAGAGCCTGGCATTTTTCATTTGCTCCTGGGAGCAGCAAGAAGAAATATGAAGCGACTAAAGGG